TATTTGAGGTGGCAGACAGTTAAGGCTGAGGTTGCAGACAGATAAGGCACCGCGTATGCGAAATCCGAGTATTCTGGATACAAATTCATTTTCCGCAGTTTATCTTGGGTCGGACTTTATATCCCAAAAAAGTCTGTGTACTTGAGAATTATACACATATATATGTATACATGTCAAGTATGTGCGTATAAAACCACCATCCTTTACTAGCTTCACAACCTACAAATACAGGCATGAAAACGTGTAAGAAACTTTAAACTACGATTACGCCGTGACTTGTTGTGTAGGTAAATTTATGGAAGTATAGAGACAGCGTAATTTTAATTTTGAGTAGTTTTTGGATCTACTGGATCTACCATTACAATTTTGATGCTGTACAATGGATTTGTAAGGGATTCCAATAAACTTTATTTAAATAAAGAATGCAAGTAGGGTATGCAAGTAAGTTTACATCATTTCTGTCATTTAGGATCAATATAATGTAACAATTAGATGTGTTGCCATTCTGTTTATTAATTTGGTGTTTATATACGATTATGCTTCTTATGAAAATACCAGATGTGTGCATATGCAGTCAATGAAACCTAATCTAAGGTACCAAAATAATCCAATATCAATCCGTGGATTAGGGATCGGAAAATCATATTCAAACAGCGACTTGTCAATATTTACGTGGATCGGGTGGGAGGAATCATAAAAGTGTGTGTATTACATCAATTGTGCAGGAAAATGGCAATTCAAGAGTAGTAGATACACATATAAATTATTCTCATGACTAAACCCTAATATCTCATGTACTAAAAACAACTCACTATATTATTATCAACAGCCATGTGACTCCTAGCAGTGTATAGGCTGTGATAACAATACTGTATGCCAGAGTGACGGGGGGGGGGGGGAATTTGGCTAGTAAAATATATGCAACCAACGGTTGAAATGTCGCCAGAAACTTTATTTAATGATAAAACCTACCGACAATTCAATTTGTGCTAATTGATACCAGGTTTCAATCTCGAGCATTTTTTAATTAAAAACATATTTTTTGGATTTTTGTCTTGAAAACCGCCCCTGCCATAGACTAATATGGCGCAGTATATCCACCAATATATTATTATTATTTTGGTATTGATCTCATAAAGCTGTAAAGTAGTTTATGCCATCGTTCAGGCTGGTCTATGTATGCGGGATGTTTAGCGTGTTCCATTATTTCGATGTGGTTGATGGGAAGGTTCTTTAAGTTAGTCACTGATTCAGGTCCAAGTGTTTCGTCCTGATCGCCGTATATGATGAGTGTTGGTACCTGAAACCAAATTATGAACATTTTTATTCCATTGGCATATTAACGTATATCATATCCCATCACAAAATCTATGGCTGTGTCGTCGGATTGCGGGCTATTTGTTGCCGGGTTTGGGTGAATCTTTGTCAGGGGGAAATGATTGATGCTGTCTGGGTTAAATTTGGAGAATAATGCTTGGCTTTGAGAGTACCTTCTGGGAATCGCTATTTACACAAGTCACTGCATGTCGTTTTCATCATTTATAATATAACAAACACAAGAGTTGTACGTTTCAGGGCCCAAATGTACATAAACACAGAGTGGTGAGCCGTACTTAACCGACCTGTCGTCCACTCAGTCTTCGCCCCAACTCTCTCGTCGCCAATCTCGAGGCCTCCACTCTTACCGTCTTACCGTGATATCACTACGCTCTCTTGAAGAATTTATTCATTCGCATTTTGTTGCAGAACACGAAAACACACTTTTCCATATTTGTAATACAAAAATTACAAGTAAAGCACACAAACTAGTAGAATGTAATATATTTAAAGTGATGCTTCTACTTACATGACACTGTCTGTACTCGTCCACCGTGAACTTTGATGTTCCTACCGGAGCAACAGGCACATATCCACGCACAACATCGGGATGTTTCAAGACAAGCGGCAATGAGTACTCGCCACTAACCGATGGGCTTATTATAACAGGTCGGAAGATATTTAGTGTTTTCATCACGTTCAGTAGAAATTGGGCAGGATCGCCGGAGTACGTCAACGAATGCGACATACCAAACCCTGTAATGAAAAAAACACAAGAAGAAAAGTTTTATTTTTAGTATAATAGGATAAAATATTTATTTGAGAGCTGAATCTGAGCAGAATTGATACAGCACTGAGATGACATTGACCAGCAGATAGCGATATTTAGAGATGAAAAAGTCAAATCGTAAAATGATGTATTTATTTTCTGGATAACCAGTTTAATCCTACCGTCACACTTTAACTATGTCATTGCATGATTAGTGTGTAGTGTTTGCTTCCTGATGACGATGATATCGAAACATTTATGAATATTTTAGTAAGAATATTGATGTACTAATGATGACGTGTCATTCATACGACCCATTATGTGTATTGTTGATGTTGTAAATTTGTATTATACCACAGTATGGTGCAAGTCGCACTATTATTATGTATCACACATATACACACATGCAGAAATCAACAAACTATTGAACGGCAAGGCCAACTGTTATCTTCATTCACAACCTTAAAATAAATACACGTAATTTCTTTATCGAAAATTATAGTCAACATGGGAAATTATGTCCAACTTGTTTCAAAATTAGGAAAGAAAGAAAAAAAGTCCAAAAAACAAAAATGTGTGAAAATTAAAATTATGGTAGGAGCTCAGATGAAATGAAATTCTGCTTTCGTTTATCCCTATTCAGCTTGCAGTGATCCCCATGCATTTCAATTGTTCCTGACCTGGTAAATCAATGGCTACTGCCCTGTAACCAATCTTCGCCAGCTGGTGCAGTGTTCCCAAATCTAACCATGTCTGTGCGGAGAAGGCTGCGCCATGCAACAACAAAACATTGCCTTCATAAGCCCCATCTCGTGATTTATCCCAAGCTTCACGACAGAACAGGTTCCCCGTGGCACCCTCAATGTTCACTTCAGATGCGATGACCATGATATCGGGGTCCTCTTTGTTGGTCAACATTTCAGATGGAATTTCCGCGACAGAGAAGTCCCTAGCGATGAAATCGCTAGCCATTCGTTCGATGTCCGCTAGATTAGACTTCCTGATAGACGATGAAGACGACGACGCGAAGTAGCTATACGTGAAGTATAGCACGAGAGTGACCCCAAATAACCCCACTAGCGTAGTGAGACTGGTATTATTTCTTGTTAGCGTAGCCATCGTGCTAACCTGTGGGCGCGGCATATGGATATCACGAACTGAACGCAGTGACAGAAAGCTGACAGCACCACACCTCACATAAATCCGGGTTAACAGCTGTATGATACGTACATACCATGTGTTTACTCTAACTGTTAAATAATAATAGTGAGGCATTCTACTAACTCCATATGACATATGCAACCATTCGTAAGGAAGAAATATTTTTGGAAATCCATGAAAATTTAATTATTCATCAAAAAATGACAAAAATATTATATACTGTATATATGAAAAACATATTTTGCATGATAACGATTATTGCATTAGATCACGTTAAAGTTCGTCGTACATATTTAAATTGGCACTTCCTGCATAATTTTGATATATATTATTTAGAGTGGTATTTTACCAATGAGATTCGTTTTACCATGATGTCGTGGTTGTCATGTTTTTCACTTCTTTGTTCGCGTGTACCATATGTATGGATGGCTATTTTACATGTAATTCCCACTGTACAGGTTTTACGTTCAGGTTTTACACAGACATGTTCACTATCAAATACACATACAACATAGTATTTAGAGCATTTTTGAATCCTGAAAGTATATTTGCTCTCAATTTAATCTGGAAAGGACATGCCATGTTTTTTGAAAAAGAAACCCGATAAAACATATTCGGAACAAGAATGAATATCGCCATAATGAGAAACATAAACACACTAAATCAAGGAAGCACTTCAAGTTTTTTCAGTAAAACACATTGTTTTAATTGAAAATAAATTAAAATCCCATGCAAAAAAAAATTTCAAGAGTTTAAAGAGTGGGTGTTTACAAAAAAATAAATGTTTCATTAAAGTGTTTTCTGATAAACAATTATTGATTAATACAACCAGTATTATGCCATCAGCAATAATAACAAAATTGAGTGAAAATTGTCAAACTGTAGTCCGCGAACTATAGGGGAACTAGCAGATAAACACTATGGTATATGCCATCGATATAAATGGCCGACCACCTAAGGGGAAATCTTTCGAAGGAATTAAGTGAGATCTGTAAAGTATTTTGCAAACAATTCTTAGTGTGGAAGGAGAAGTCCTTGGACATATGTGCATGTATGCGTGAACGTTGACTATTTGAAATTTCTAGTCACCATTCTCATACAATTTGCATACAGAAATTATGGAAGATATACATATTAGTTAGCTCATAAATATTCATGATCTAACTCGAAAAATATAGCCAAAAATTCAATGGTCAACGTGTCTGGCGAAGCTACTTTGTGGTTTTCATCTTATTGACACAGTAAAACCTGAGCAATGTCTTTGATGTGACGTGATCTGTATATAAGTCAACTTGAGAGAACATTTAGGAGAATAAGTCAGACCCGGAAGCAGGCCTCCTGGGAGGAGGACTTCACATCTTCGACGGGTTACCAGAAGAAATCTGGTTTGATAAATATACTGTCCCGTTTAGGGGGTGTTTTTATAAGTGAAAATAGACAATCAAAGCATTGGAAAGATAGAAAGGTGGAAGTGGAATTAAATGAACAATGTGTTTTAAAATGTTTTAAAAAAAATTTTCCGTTTTCGACATTGTGAAATTCCTTCGTTTGTTTAACAAGAAATTCAGAAATTTATTAGGAATAATTCATAACGAAATGTATTTCATAAACCAATAATAGTTTACCGATTGTGCAAAAAATGTCAATTTTCATTTTTCAGTTATAATAATATTTAGGACTTGTAAACCGTATTAATATTCGTAGTATTATAGAAAGACTCTGTACAAATCTGGCATGGATTATGTACTTATAAACAATTTGGAGACCATCACTTTTTTTTTATAAACCATGAAAACGCCACCAACGTCCATGGTTTGCAAATAAAGTTATATTCGCCGAGTTGCAATTATTCATACACTTCGATGTTCGGGCTTCGTTATTTACATTTAATGAGCTTATTCTAATTTATTTATCAATGAAATAGGAAATACACGATTCTGTATTATTATTTACAAATAACGAGATTATTTAAATATAATGGTATTTATTTATAAATAATGCATTTCTGATTATATACGAAACACAAATGTTTGTATATAAATCACATAAATATAAATAAAGAATATAATACATTGATCCTTGGTTTGTAAATAAATGCTGCAATAACAATTATTTTCATAGCATTGAACTAGACCTTCATAATTTCTTTATATGTATACCATATCTCAAGTCATAATTAAATAACATTTGGGACATTATTTATAAATAATAAAATGTACATATTATATACATATTAGTCCGAATCCTATTATTCATGAATAAAACAAACTTGTTAATTCGTGATTTCTATATAATTGATTTGAAATATCAATATTTATTAATAATGAAAAATCACGTAATTGTTTACATACTGAATTGAATTTATTCACTTAATTTACAGGCAATATTGATAAAAGAATACAATACAAACAACACTGAAATACATAATGAATAGGAGGCTGCAAAATAGTGTAAGAATCCACCTCCTTTTCTAGGTTAAAAAAACTACGTGTACAATAATAAGTAGACGCTAAAATAAATTACATACAACTCAATTATGTAAAAATCTGTTCATTTCTTCATTGAAAAGAATTTCTTCTGGAAGTTTATTCCAGAGTTTGGCCACAGCATATTTGATTGAATGTTGCCCCGAATTAGTATGGTATTATGGATGTAATAAGATTACCTAATGCTTTTGATTTTGTGTTATAAGAGTGTTGGATAGAAGAAAAATATTGAGGAAATCCTGGTGGTAACTTGCCATTGAGATTATCATGAACAAACAAAGACATTTACAAATCATGTTGTTTATAGATATCTAGTATATGGAGCTGATTAAAAAGTGAAGAAGTGTATAAGAAGCGATCTGAGCCTGTTATTATAAGAAGCTTAAATCCATAAAAAACGCTATATAAATAAATAAATACATAAACGGCACCCACATTACATTGTACATATGCGTTATAAAAATAGGATGAACCCTCCGAGTATTTTACGATTACAAAACATTTTCATTGTATAATTTATCACACGACGTTATTGGTTAAAAACAAATTATTTGCGCCGTGTTACAACTGCAACGTTCGTGACGGACAAACTCGTATCGGTCGTCACGAATTGCACCCCAATTGGACCGGTTTATTTGGTCTAGGACGACCCTACGTACATTAATCTCATACAATATTACTGGAAAGCCTTTGTATCATTTTCATGGTAGCATCTAGTGATATATTTTCGACGTCATTGTGAGCGTCACTGTTGGAGTTGTCCATCGTAATGTGCGTTTTTGTAAAAATTACGTAACTTTCAACCCTATATCGCAATTTGACGTGCTGTACACCGGGTTTTACTAGTCTTTTTGAAAAATGACCTTGAAATGGCCGGTCGAAGCTCACGCGACTGCCACCAGTGAGTTGACTCAGTGCATGAACGTTCTTCCAAACAATAGCAGATAAGTTCAAAGTCTCCAACGATGTTTGATTTCTAAATACGTGGTATTTATCAAAGCCATGTCTTTCTTGGTGGGAATAAACTTTGTTGCTAGAAAGTTACGGAGTCTCTCTAAGGGTGATTTACAGCCTATAATCCACCACAAATATTGAATTCTGATTGGTTAACAGGTGTGATTAGTGGTTTGGGGCCTACATGCGTTGCAATGCGATGTGATGAATGTAGCGCATTTATATAGATTCTGTTTCGATTTTATAATGACCGTTGAGACTTACAACCACGTTATTAACATTAGTGCTGTGCAAAAATAGTTTGGCGATATGTTGCTGGTATGCTACTCTTTCTAGCTGCACGTCCAATGTTTTGACAGTTGCGTGGTGACAGTATAAGGCTAGTATATCTTATTGTAATGAACAATTATTCTAACTAGTTTCTTAGTTTTCTGAGTGATATTATGGAGCATATGAGATGTTGACAGCGGTCTTCTACAGATTCGTAAAGACCACACCAAATTATCTGAAACGAGGTTGACCTAAAGACATGCCGTTTTACGAGGGTGTCGTGCTATAATACCTGTGTCGGACGAACAGCACATGATATCTGCTCTCAATATCATCAAAGCTTTTCTCTTACCTCTTACCTTTTCTCTTACAGCATTCTCTGACGGCCCGTACTAGTATGACCTCCA